ACTCGACCGGCAACTTGTTTAAGGCTTTGAACAGCAAGCATTCTATGACAACTCATTTCCAAGGAGGACACATAAACAGGCTAAATTGGATTTTTGTGCAGGATCGGGTGTGAAGGTATCTTCTGAATGTGAAGAGAAGCGTAGCTGCTTATGTGGCCATTCACATATCGCATCTTTTGCATGCGCAAATTCAAAATTTCTGATGGAGGCACGTGGCTTGTGCACGCTTGCATTTTTCAGGTGAACCCAGTTGAAAAATGAATCACTTAACAAGAAATAACCAATCAGTTTCATACCTTGTGTGAAATATACATATTTTGGTAACTACTTCAGACAAAAAGTATTAGTTTTCTTCTTAATGTCTTTTGTTGTAAAAAAAAAAAAGTAAATAAAATGTAAAGTAAATGATGAGAGAATTTTAAGTTTTGGTTGAACGATCTTTAAATTTTTTGAATATGTCAAGCTGCTGTGATCAACCCATTGTAATGTTTTTCAGTAAATATTAAACTACTGAAAGAGCTGCAGTTTATTCTGTATTTTTATAGGTGTATTTTAAATGTTTTAAAAGGTAATTCAAAGTAAAATAATTGGTAATCTGATAACTTTTTACATGAAGTAATTATCAGTATCAGAAGTAATGTAATCAGATTATAATTTCCCAGTAGTAGTCAGTAACTTGTAATCTATTACTTTTTTTAAATTACTTACCCAACACTGCTGATTGGCTTTGCTTATAACAGTTGGTCCAGTTCAAGTTTTACCCCAAATATGTATTTCTATCATGTATAACAACAATCTGTAAGATTGTATTAAAAAATAAATAGGCAAAAATAATAATTTATATAAATATAAAAAAATGCATTTAAGTAAGATATTGTGAAATCAAGTTTTAAAAGTTATTTTCTATTTTCTATAAATGAATACATTTAAGTATTGCAAATATTAATTACAGTGTAATTAATCCAAATATGTAGTCAATTTATTATAATAGATAATATTACAGATAATATTTCTATTAATATATTTCATTATATATTAATATAATACTTGTAATAAATATTAACATTAATGCCTTTATTCTTGCGATAGCAATGCTAATTTAATTTCTTTGAAATACATCCCTAATGCTTAAAATGGCATTTAGCTGAACAATTAATAGTAAAAACAAAAACATTGTATTTGTTTTTTATTTTATTACTCATTTTTTCTGACTTTCATTCAGCAGAAAGTGATTAGTTAATAATGCTGCTTATTGTTTTTGCAAACTGCATACTTTTTTTTAGATTATTGACAAATAATGATTTTTACATTATAAATGTCTTTACTGTCACTCTTCAATTTAATGCATCCTAGTAAACATCTTTTAAAATCTTTTATTTTTGAACTTTCTATAGACATAAAACTTTAGTTAAGGACAATTCAACCTACAATTAGCATTTTATTTTTAAAAAGTCAGTTATTAACGATTACAATCCGGAATCATATTTATCGCTTTGCCTTATTATAATCAAATTACAAGCACAAGTCTCCACCTATTAACTTACAGTATACAATAAACACCAGGGTAAAGTTTTTAAAAAGCACAAATCAGTTTAAGAGAGTTGTCTGTTGTTCAACCTAGTATTGGATAGAGGCTACATTTAAAGGGTCATGTGAACAACCTCACAGAAAAATCAGATTTGAGCAGAAAATCCGATTTGGGTCCCATTCAGCTGCGGTGGAAAGGCCTTAGTAAACCGTAACTGTTTTCATAGTGGGTTTAATGGATGGTGTAACTACAACTTACAAAACCTCTCAAGACTTCATGTACATCTCTTTTCAGTCAGTTTCTCTAGTTAACCGTCCAAAGTTAAAGTAAATCTACCAGCAGGGTGAGCTTTGACACTCATGTGACTGAGCTTTAGCATGCTAGTGCGTCAACCTCAAATCAAACCAAGCCTGTCAGAAAACACTCATGCACTTTATCTGACCTTCACCCTTAATGTGTTTAACAAGGTCAGGATGTCACATAGATTATACGTGCGTGTAAGTATGCTACTAGTGTTTGTTCAAAGAAAGTTTCAGTTTGTCATACAATCACAAGATCAGTCTCCATTTTTTATTAAAAGTCCTGAGGGAATATCGTCCTTCAAAAGATGTCACAGGACTTTAATAATGTGGGTAATAAAGTGTTTCTTGGAACTGGTGTAGAGTAGAATGAGCTTGTGTCTCTATCTCTGGCTTACTTCTAAAGTGAGAGTGTCGCGGCTGCAGTTGTGTTGTGATGTTATGACAACAGTGTGCGGTAATGGCTGGAGAGTGCTGGGCAAAGCTTGGAGCACGAGCGCTGGTAATCATCTGTTCTTTCGCTAGCAGAAAAGCCTCACACCCAGATTTCGAAACGATGTAAACCTCTCTGGAACGACTGGGAGGGACCTGCTGGAACATTAGCTATTGAAATTCACTGGAGATCGTGATAGGAGATGATTTCAGCTGAGTTTATCTTTTTCATTGTGCTCGTGGTTTTTCTGTCTGAAAACGCCAAGAGCGTGCTTTAAATGAATATGCAAATGAGTCTATAAAAATTAGCATAGTCCTCTATTACTCTTCTTGCGCCTATTACTTGAAGAGCAAGCTAATCTGATTAGCAAAATTACTGACTAAAGTCTTTTTTGTATCACAAAAATACAATTGTGGTTTCATGATTAGCGAATTAGCTACTGTTTTCATTGTCACAAGTGGGGTTTTTTGTACACACACACACCTTTCAGTTGACATTTATTTCAAGTAACAAAAATGGTTATGATTTTGAATTAAGTTTTAAAGATCACCTATGATGTAAATCATCTATTGGAAACTGTTTAGACAGAACTGTGTGTAGGTATAGTGTGTCCACAGTCATATTAAAGTGATAGAAACACAATAAGTCTCTTTTTTATTTCCTGACGTTAAATTATATCCAAATCCCTCCCTCCCATTTTGAGGCCCACCTTGACATAGTAGTGCGGTTTCCCCCGCCCACTGAATTGATTTACAGAGGAGTATTTAAATATCTCCAAAATAAGTAAACCTGATGAAAGTCTGCAAGATGTTACAAATGCAGTATATGAATGTTTTTAGATTCGTTACAGTACTGTTAATCTTGATAAATCCCAGCTGTTAGATACATAAATTATAAAATATTTTAACTGGGTGTTATGTAAATGTTACTCCAGACTTAAAATAATTGACTGTATTTATAGTTGATGTATTATTTGTTAGAAGTAAATTTCAAATAACATTAATAAAATAAAATGTTTACAATTAACAAACAGTAAGTACTAGGGCTGCACGATATGGGAAAAATATAACATTGCAATATTTTTTTTTTCTGCGATATACAGTATTTTGCCATATTAATACAATTTCAGCAGATGACATGAATAGCTCTATTTGGAATGAAATCATTAATTTTGATTGGAATAATCATGTAGAGGAGTAAATCAAAGAAATTGCAAGTGTAAATAAATAATAAAGAGCAAAGATAAAAGTGAAATAAGTAGTCAGATATTCAGGTACAGTAATACGATAGAATTTGATATTATCATTATATTTCACAAGAAAACCATCCCCAATATATCATATTTGTAAATCAAGGGGGAAATGCATGCATTATAAGATGTATTTTATTAACAGCACATATATTTTGTAGAATTTATATATGTTTGATCTGACACTACGAGAAGCGCCACCTCATGTACTGTCACCTAAAAGGTAAATGGTAGAAGCGCAAGGCTGATGAATTAGTTCAGATCTTTTGTACCTTTAAAGAAATATCAATATTTGACTACATTAATATTGTATTGCTGGTGGAATTATTACAATAAATCAGCATCAATATTTTGTCCTGGCCCTATTATTGGATAATCACATGTAATGTAAAATAACACTGTGCATTCTTCATTGCTGATCAACTATAATAATCCTAACTCCACATTGCAGATGCTGCGATGTGACTATTGCGAATGCACATGTTGCGATATCGATACTGAAACGATATATTGTGCAGCCCTAGTAAGCACATTAACAATAACAGATATTGAATTTATAATATATATAAAACTAATGTATGAAAAAACTAAACTTTGTTGAGAAACAAAACACTGATGACACGATATGCGTCTTTGTACAGAACCAAGGACGCCCTTGCGTACTGTGGTGAGAAAATCCTACATGTCAGACAAATAAAGCGAGTCAGTGTGAATCAGCGTCCCTTATGGAGACATCACTGCTGACAAGGGTAGAGCACGTTACAAAAAGAGCTGCTGAGGAAGAGAGCGAGAACAAGCAAAAGAACACTGACAAACACAATAACAAAAAAAAAACTCTTCATTTTGTTTCCCTCCCTCACATATTGCAGGATCTCTTAAATCGTTCCGACACACAAATGCACAAATGTCCTCAGGTGTTTCTGAATGTTGTTTTGACTCGCTAGCAAATGCCATTAGTTGTAATTGCTGACATTGCGGACTCATTTTCAGCATACGCATGAGAGAGCGCATAGCTAAGGCACAGAACTGTGTGCTGCCCGAGGGCTCGCTTTCTCCCGGAGCCGTCGCTTGTTCATTTGCAATCGTTAGTTGAGCCAATCTTTCGTTTGTGAGCAAAAGAGAATGAGAGTACATTTCTCAAATTAAAGAAACTCGTTTAATGGCGACGTTGAGCTCAGATTGTGCATTAAGCCCCAAATTGAATTAGCTGCACCAGAGTCATTTCTTTTTCATTTGCTTTTAATAGGTAAATGTGCAATCGAGGACTAATAAGTGTGTTTTTGTGGGTGTACATGCCCACGTACATGAAGCGGTGTATCTAAAGCTCATACACACTCAGACTCCAGTGAGTATTTAGCTAATGTACTGTTTAATAGTGAGTCACTGCTAGGTATTTCTGTTATTTGCTCTGTTTCTAATTACGCATCCTTCATATTTTCTGTTGTGCATCACAGCAGTGAGCGTCCGTGTATTTGTGTGTGTGTGTTGCAGTGAAAGAGGAGTGCGTGTCGGATGAAGATGAGAGGAGCAGAGATGCTTTGGTTGAGGAGATGCTCCAGCAAGGAGACACCGCAGTCATCTTTCCAGAGGCTCCAGATGACGAACCGCGACAGGGCACACCAGAAACCAGCGGACATGATGAAAATGGTACAGTCCAACAGTAGTAAAAAAAACTTCAGTTTACAAATTGGCGCATGGTATTTTCATGCCAAATACATGTGTAACTGGCTTCAAAATATCAGAAACACATGTTGCTTGGATTGCTTTTATAATGTGAACACTAATCGAATGTGGTGGAATGACCCACTGTTTTAGTCTTTTGAGCTCCAGTAATGATGATGAACACTGATGTACACTGTAGTGATCAAAATAGACTAATTCAACTTTTTTTAAGTAACTTAATGCTTTAACCAAAGAGTGTATTAGCTATTTCATCTCAGTATGCTACAAGTGATGGTAAAAAAAAAAAAGTATATTAGTAAATCCCTCATCAGGAAATGTATTCATACGGTTTCATTCAGAAAGTTTTTCTTCATAGGGGAGTCGATGAATCATTCTGAGAAATTACAGAATATTATTGTATAAAGGTTTGTCATGATGAGGATTTGTGCTGGTGGTATACTGTTATAAAAATTGTTGTGATAAGCGATATTATTGTCATTTTAGATCATTTTAATATAATGATTAAAATAGAGCACGATAAGGCAAAAAGCCAAAAACACTTTAAAACACTTATTTAAGGTTATTTAGATTTTATAATTTGATATAAAAATGTGCAGTAAATGTCCTATTATATATAATATTAAATAGGGATGCTTAAAACGATCGCTGAGCTGGCCCATCTCATGAACTGATCACAACTGTTTGTTTACGAGTTTACAAGCAGGGGACACATAAGAACTGAAATCTTTTTTACATAGACCTAAACATTCTGTATTTGGGGCGGTGCGGTGGTGCAGTGGGTAGTGCTGGGTTTCCTCCGGGTGCTCCGGTTTCCCCCACAGTCCAAACACATGCAACATAGGTGAATTGGGTTGCAGCCAAAAGGGTATTCGCTGCGTAAAATATATGCTGGATAAGTTGGTGGTTCATTCTACTGTGGCGACCCTTGAATAATAAGGGGATAAAGTGACCCTTGAATAATAATTGGCTGGAAATATTAGGGAAATTTTAATGTATTTATTTTTTTACTTTACTATTTCATATTATAACTTGTTGTAATATACATATTGTAATAAGCAGTAGTTTAGGTACCTATTTCCTCTAAGTAAAGAAGTAATGGGTATATAGATGTGCATTTTAATTCCATATGCGCTCCAAACTTCATTTAGACATGTTGAATTCTTCTTCCATGATTTGCAATGTTTCCAAAATGCTTTATTAGTGATTTTTCTTACCAATTTCTAAAATCAGTTTTTTCTATTTTGTTCTTCTGACCATGACATGTCTACACTAATGGTTTCAGGTGACATGTTTAAGGAATTATAGCAACATCTGTAATTTATTCTCTAAAATAAGTAAGGCAAGATCTCCACTTAAGTATCATACTTGACCTGTACTGAAAATGTGTTTTTGCATTAGCTTGAAGCATCTGAATCAGTAATCAGCTTTGGCCGATCACCATGACAAGAAATTGGTATTCAGTATCGGCTGCAAAAATCCTGATCAAAGCATCCCTGCTATTAAATGTCCTATTAAAAACTTTAACATCGGTCAGGTAAAACGTAAATATCATTGTAAAATTGGTGAATTTGTAATTATATATCGCAACGGCAAACATTTATGAGGTAATCAACAAGTATTATACGATAAATTGATATATCGATATATAGGCCTAATTGTATGATGAATTTATGCTGAAGCCAAGGGTTCACAAGTCTTTGGAACTGTACAATAGCCACACTTCTCTTCCACAGACCACTAATGACTTTGGAATGATTTCATTTACACCTGCAACACCTGTGCAAATCTCCCATACCTGAGCTACTTTCTCACGTCCCTGTTGCTGTTTGTGTGACAGAGAACGTTTCACCTGACTGGACTGAGAAGGTTAATAGGTTACCTGTTAACAGGTAATATGTTACCTGTGTGAGAGCTGGACAGAAACCGTTCCAGGTGTTTTCTGCCCATTTTTCCATTTGAATAATAATTGAAAAAATGTTTTATAAATCTTGATAATGATAATGAACTCAAATTCTTTCCTTAAACGTAGACATGTAGTTAATTTGTTGATTTATATAAACTATAAATGTACTATAAATGGCATTTCAGTTAAACATATGAATGTCTTCATCAATGACATCAAAGAAAATGTATCTCACCAGCATTCCCTGTACTCAATAGACTTTTTTGGCATTTTTCCATTTTAATGTACTGTCAAATCTTCTCAGGTTTGTAATCTATGCTCCTTTTCTATCAGCCTCTACTAGCATATTTTCGCTTACTGTGTTTCCATTTAATCCATTGTGAATCTATATAATTGTTTCCCTCGTTGCCCTGGTATGCCTTAAGTTACCAGCTGCCAATCCTTAGTTCTTTTCATTTTAGCTGCTGCTCTTCATGCTGGAGACATTTCAGCATGTGAAGATGTCACACATTATAGATCTAATTTAACTCTCATATTCACATTCCTCAGCGAATTGATCAATGTGTATATTCACTCATGCATACAGTACATTGCAATAAATGATATCTATGCTAGAAATCCATGCATTGGGATTCTTTAATTACACATCTTCAGAAATATCTGAACAATAGAGTAAATAATTGTAAGCTAATTTGCATACATTTGCAAATACCAATAAACAACAGATTTTGTCATGTTTCGGACACAGTGCTCAGCATAATAGAGTACACCCATTTTGAAAATGAATATTTGTATCAGTTCCTCGGTGAAAATAGACAATGTATTTCAGTGTATTTAAACAAAACAGATTTATAAAACAGAAAAATTTATTAAAATTATGTTTTAGTCACCAAACAAATATAGAAATTGAAAGAAAATACAATTAATTTCAAGCAAAATACTGCAAAAACTACAAAAAAATTTCAACTAAATTAAAAATACATATATTTTAATTTTTTTGCTTCGCTTGATTTTTCCTCTTTTTTAAATTTGTATTTAATATTTTTCTTTAATAACATAAATTTGACTGTACTAGTTTTTGGACTGTTATCGTAAGTTATTTTTTTAGATAAGCTTCAGATTTGGCTTCAGTACGGACTAATCTAATGTATATGCACAAATGTAACATTGTATAGTTTCCTATTAGAAATATGAATATTAAGAAATGAAAAGGAGAGTGTTAAAATTATCATATTCAATTCTACTCATTAATATGCTCTTCATTTCATTTCTCTCTCTCTCAGGCACGCCAGACTCATTTTCTCAGCTCCTCACCTGTCCGTACTGCTCTCGTGGCTACAAACGTTACACCTCACTGAAGGAGCACATTAAATACAGACACGAGAAGAGCGAGGACAACTTCAGCTGCTCTCTCTGCAGCTACACCTTTGCCTACAGAACACAGCTGGACAGACACATGACCGCACACAAAGCTGGCCGAGAACAGGTATTCTGCACTTAATCTGTAATATTTGTGAGCATGTAATTGAATGAGATATTTTGGTTAACTACGTTAAAGCTAAAGTGTTCAAAGGGGCCAACTAGCGGGAATAGGTTACAATTTAACACTATAATGTTGAAATCTAAGGATAAAAAAACAGACTCAAAATAGCAGGGTTTAACACATGGGTAATTCACAAGGCTTATATCATTCATGCAAGACATACAGGACAACATTAAAAGCTGTAAAGTGTATAAATGAATGCTGTTAAGCAATTAAACCATGCATGCATTTCAAATAATGGCCATTTGAAGATTTAAGTGCACTTACAAAAACATGACAGCAGTATTGTTCGCTCAAGTGTAATGTATTCTCTCTTGTGTGTTTTTTTTAGCGGCATGTTACTCAGTCAGGTGGAGGAGGGAATCGAAAGTTTAAATGCACTGAATGTGGCAAAGCCTTCAAGTACAAACACCACCTGAAAGAACACCTGCGCATCCACAGTGGTGAGGACTGCTCGAAATTTGCTAGAGTAGTGTATGTTGAATCTGTGTGTGTGTGTGTGTGTGTGTGTGTGTGTGTGTGTGTGTGTGTGTGTGTGTGTGTGTGTGTGTGTGTGTGTGTGTGTGTGTGTGTGTGTGTGTGTGTTTGCAAGCATGCATATACTGTATGTGTGCAGTTGTTTACTTCATTGTACCAAAATTTTAGGCCAATTCGGCATTCAACTACTTCAAAGAACTTCAAGTACTTACTGTCAAAGGCTTCTTAAGAGTTTTTCATCTAAATACTGCACACTTTTATGGGTTTTACTTATTGGAAGGAAAAAAAATGCTTTTTCTGTGTCGTAGTTTCTTCTGAGGACTGCCTATTATATTTCTACATTTATTTGATTATTAAAAAAACTGTTATAAAAATGTTCTGAACAGTGAAACAATAGAGTTAAGTTGAAATACATCAAGTGTTGGTTCATCTGTTCATTTTGTGTTGTGCAGGAGAAAAGCCTTATGAATGCTCCAACTGCAAGAAGCGTTTCTCTCATTCCGGTTCCTACAGTTCCCACATAAGCAGTAAGAAGTGCATTGGTCTCATCTCAGTAAATGGACGACCACGACCTTCTCCTGCTACAGGGGCTGCCAAGACCCCGCAGTGCTCTTCCCCGTCCCTGCCAACCTCCTCCCCTACAGCACGAGTCCAAGTAAGAGACAAACTGGATAACAGCAAACCCCTTCAAGAGCAGCTTCCCTTGACACAGATCAAGTCTGAGCCGCTGGACTATGAGTACAAGCCTGTGGTAGTGGCCCCATCTGCTAGAGGCGTAAATGGCATGTTTCAGGGTGGGGCAGCAGCCCCTCTCCAGGGTGCCGTACAGGCTGTTGTGCTTCCAACTGTGGGACTGGTGTCCCCAATCAGCATCAATCTGGGGGACTTACAAAACGTGCTAAAGGTGGCAGTGGATGGGAATGTCATTAGGCAAGTGCTGGAAAGCACACAAGCTAAGGGGCAACAAGCAGGGACGGGGATTGTAGGAGCAGGAGGGATTGCCCAAGCTACCCAGCAAGTTATCCAAGCCATTAGTCTTCCTATCTTGGATCAGGATGGCAATGCTAAAATCTTCATCAACTATAGTCTGGACCCATCCCAAGCCCAAGCAGTCCTTCAAAGTCCAAAAAAGGAACCATTGGGGTCGAACACTGAGGTCTGCAAGGGTCAGAAGCTGCCTGAGGACCTTACAGTAAAGACAAATAGGGACAAAACCACCCTCACTGTGGATGAGAAGAGCATGTTACACAATGACATATTACTTAAGCACTGTGGTAAAGATGAACATAGGATTAACGGGAAAAATCTTGAGGAGAAGATGGACTTGGAAGGACTGTGTCCTGGTCAGCCTCCTCTGAAGAACCTTCTCTCCTTGCTCAAGGCTTACTTTGCCTTAAACAATGAACCCACTAAGGAGGAGCTGGCAAAGATATCGGAGTCTGTCAGTCTTCCAGCAGAGGTGGTGAAAAAGTGGTTTGAGAAGATGCAGCTGGGACAGATCTCCATAGACCCTTCTTCACCTCAGCATGAGGAGGAGCAAACCACTCCTGTGGATTTGGATGGTACTAAAGGTGCATCACCCAAACCAGACTTAGATGAGCAAATTAACTCAGAGAAGCAAGAGGAGAGGGAGTGCTGTAGCCCAGCGGAGGGCATTGCAGCCAGTGTGAATGGAATCGAGAGTGTCCCTGCATCCCCTTCACCACTAAACCTATCGGCTGATGGTCCTGTCCCAGCCAGGACTCTTGAGGAAGGCGAGGGACCTCTCGATCTGTCGCTACCAAAATCCGCTACTACAGCCTCTGTGGCTAGCGGTCATGCTAACACTGTTTACTCGGCTCAAGAGGAGCCGCTGAATTTGACTTGCACAAAGAAGGAACTGCTCAGTAATGCAAGCACCAATGCTGCCATATATGCCAGCCAACCAAGTGCCAATCCCATAAACATCATGACCACTCAACTGCCCACCCTAGTGGCTATCACTGACCAGGGACAGGCGCAATGTCTACGTGCACTTACCACCACTAAACAGACCATCCTGATCCCGCAGCTGACTTACAGTTATACCACTACATCCTCCAGCCCGGCAGGGACCGACACACCACAGAAGAACATTTTACATGTCAATGGCATCAAGGTGAGGACTCAAATAGACATTCTTTAGCTGGGTATGGATACTTTGTTACATTTTTTAAATACTATGATATGCTTTCTCTCATGATGTAGGAGGAAAAACAGGAGATGGGGTCAGAGGCCACCTCTATATTGGAAGAACAGACAGACTCAGACTCAGGGCCGACCAAGAAGAAGATGAAAAGGACGGAGAGTGGGCTGTATGCCTGTGACCTGTGTGACAAAATCTTCCAGAAGAGCAGCTCGTTGCTCCGCCATAAATATGAACACACAGGTGGGATTCTCATATAGAGATAGATGATAAAGAAAGCAGTTAAGCCTGAAATTATACACAGGTTTCTTCATACACGCTGAGATTTCATAAAAATATGATTTGAAGTGATATTGAAGGGGAATTTATGACAGAGTACATTGTATTGCAGTAATTTTACCTATTACACAGGGAGCAGAACTGAATTTTAGGTTCCAACCGCTGTTAAATTACACGTGCTGGAGGGTGCGGTGACTTATTTTCCCCTCATCTGCTAGCCAAATACATTACCTTCTCGCACCGAACCCAGGCTGTTGCATCAGTTCTCTGTTAGTAATTTACACTCCTCCTCCCTTTTTTGCTCTAAAACATGAAAAAGTTTGCACAGCCAAGAGCAGGTCACCTCTCGCTGTTAAGATACCTGGCCAAAAATCCAGCAGCACTCATCCAAATGACATCACAGCGTCTTAAACCACAACTTCTGCTGTCTTTTCTCTCTCTCTTTTTCATTTGAAGCCACAGTTTATAAACTTCTAGGCCTTAGTGGAACTGGCCTGTCTTGTGCACTACAGCTTGTTTTGATTCATTGTTTGGTCTTATTGTCCATGGCTACATAAAAACATGTAATGCAGTCCTTAATGCCTTAAAGATCCAGGGTTGAAAGCTGGGTGTAGAGGGGTTTTTAGTGCTTTGTGTAGAAATTACAATAATCTTTTGTGGCTGGGACCATTTATAAAGTTCAGCTGTGTGACAGTTGTGTTTTAAGCATGCATATAATTGATCAAATTATATAAATTATCAACTCCAATTTCAAACTGTGGAACATCTTTGTCAGCCAGGTTAAAAAAAAAAAGTATATTTTAAATAAGTGGATGTGACAGATTTAACTAATTAAAGATGCATTCACATAAGCATAATTAGTACTGCATACAAAATTAAAACAAAGCAGGATTCTATTGGTCCACAAAATAAATCGCATGACCAGTTTTTCTTTCAAAATTGTTAGAATTGAGAGGTCTGCAATTTGCAAATATGAGGGATATATTAAGTTTGTGAATGTAACCTAAAATAAGACATAAATGAATAAAGCTATAACCTATAAGTATGATGACGGGAAGTTCAATTCATTTGAATATAGTTAAAATGTTACATATTAATTACCTAGCATAAATTACAAAACACATGCAAAAGATGTCATCTTGAAGACAAAACTATAATGCATCTATGAAATTATCAGAGACCCTGAGGATAAAATCATTGTTTAACTGGGTCTCCAGGCTTTGCAGTTTAAGGATGCGTTCACACCTGTAGATTGTTTTGTTCTGAAACAGGGATTAATATTGTTACAATGTTATTTTTTGTTCCTCATACGATTCGCTTTTACACGGCAAAGTATTTAAACGAAACAAAACAGTTAAAACAAGTCATGTGCGAGTAAACTCTCCTCACAATGTTCAGAGTTTCAGGGTTTATTTTCAGAGTCCCACAGATTCTGCTCAGCTACCTCATTATTTAAATTTATGATGATTAGCAATAAGGCATTATAAGTGAAAAGGTGCACTTTATTTTGACACCCACAGATATTGTCACCAAATATAAATAAGAGAGGTCAGACTTTCTCATTTCAGTCAAGTTTTGCAAAAATCTATTTATTGAATCAATCAGTCTATATCAGTTGTAGGGAACCTATGACTCACGAGCCACAAGTAGCTCTTTGACCAAAATATGCGGCTCTCCAGCTGTCTTCCTTCAATATTATTTTACTGTTTAAAAAACCATAACCATCACTAAAAATCAGTTTCCTATCGAAAATACAGTTACAATCCCCTTTTAAATTGTAATTTTATACAGCAGAATCAATAAGAACTTAGTTAACAGTATAAGGACATTTCGACCAATGTTTGTTTTTGGCAATGTGGATAAACTTGAATTGTGACACCATTAAAGGGCAATCAACTTATGTTTCTATGATAACTTAAATTCAAAGAACATTCATGAGTGGTGATGGTGAAAATAAAAATAATCTAAATTGTTCTTTTTTTCATTCATAGACTTCAGATTTGTTTATTTTTGAGTTGTGCATGGACATAAATTAAGGTTTTGTTAAAACTTGTATTATTTATAGTAATATAATAATAACAATAATAAAAACATAGTATTAGTAGTAATACTATAATATTTTAGTAATTTATAGTAATACAGTAGCAAATGCATTTTTAAAGAGGCATTTTGAGATATACAGTAAAGTCAGAATTATTATACCCCTTTGTAATTTTTTTCTTTTTTAAATATTTCCCAAATGATGTGTAACAGAGCAAGGAAATTTTCACAGTATGTCTGATAATATATATTTTTTTTTTTCTGGAGAAAGTCTTATTTGTTTTATTTTAGCTAGAATAAAAGCAGTTTTAACTTAAAAAAAAAACATTAAGGTCAATATTATTAGCCCCTTTAAGTTAGTTTTTTTCCGATAGTCTACAGAACAAACCATTGTTATACAATAACTTGCCTAATTATCCTAATCTGCCTAGTTAACCTAATTAACCTTGTTAATCATCATGTCATCATGGCAAAGATAAAATCAGTTATCAGAAATGAGTTATTAAAACTATTATGTTTTAAAATGTGCTAGAAAAATCTGCTCTTCGTTAAACAGTAATTGGGGAAAGAATAAACCGGGCTAATATTTCAGGAAGGCTAATAATTCTGACTTCAACTGTACACACATCCAAACGGCTCTTTAAAAAAATGCATTTGCTAAAAAAACAGAAATGGCTTTTTGCTGAAAAAAGGTTCTCGACCCCTGGTCTATATAAAAAAGTGTGTGCTTTAAAATGACACATTATAGGGTTAGATTATAGAGAGAAATAACAGATTAAGACTGCAGTCAGATCATGAAGCAAATCAATGTTGATCTTTCTTTCAAGGTGTCAGTGGAGAAATGAACAAAACAATAGACCTAATACAAAATAATATAATCAATCATTATCATTTCGGTCAATTTTTCTAACACATAAACAGCCCACTGTAATATTTCAGCAAGCTTTCACTTTCATATTTGACATGTAATGCACATTTACCAGTAGGAATAATGGCATCCTAGCCTACTCATCATTCTCTCTTCATTTAGTTTTATGTATGGCAGCTACATAGACACAATACACTGTGATATAGCCTGGATCGTTTTGCTTTCTCACTACAATCAATCTGCTCCAAAGTTCATTTCAGTCAAGCTGGGACTACCTCATTTAGGCGATCTTGGGATTGCTGGATTCACATATGCCAAAAAAAAACACTCCAACTGGACAAATGAGACACGTTCCAAAATGTCTAGGTGTGAAACCACCATAAGATAGCTCATTTCACATGTCCTAGTCCTCAGGTAGTTCACTGGTTATATTGTAACATCACAAGTCACACCTCCTTGAAATACAGTTAAGCAAGCTGTCCTGGTCCAATAACAGACAAGATTATTTAAGTCTCATATCCTCTGGTTTTAAGTCATCTGTTTAGCAAGTGGCAGCACCATGGATTAAAAATTGATGGTGAGCCAGTCCATGAATATGTATTTATTTCATTCATTTCTCTAGGTTTCGGGAAAAGATGTAATTGTACATTGCCCAGCATTTCTGGGTAGCTGCTGTCTGCATTCCAAGTCCCTTATAAAGCACATTTTCACCATGTTAACAGCCAACACTATGATTCCTGTCAGACAGAATGATGGTCAGTGACAGAGGCACAAATTATCAAAGTTATGATTGGTCGGAAAACCTGTCAATCCAGCAAACAGTCAATTGTACATGAGACACCAGCAGAACCCTGCAATACAAACTTTTTTTTTTTTACTGAATTTAAAATAAATAGAGCATCTGTAATTATTCAAACCCCCTTTTTGTGATTTTTTTGTGATAAAGAGTTAATTCCCAGAAATTTGCGAGCAATTTTGCGATAAATAAATCAGGTGTGCAATCTGACACAATGACAATGACACAAATCATAAAAATAAAGCTTCTTTATTTTGGTCTCTTGTCAAGACAAGATCATAAACTAGATCTAGAACGGAAGGGATTAAGTCAAAGGAAGGTTGTAGAACTATTACTTTACTCCCCGGAGCATCTGACATCATGTACCCCACTCAGGACATGCGTTAGGGCTTCCCCTACCGTAATACACCCAAAACACGGATTGCCGTAAAACTCGTCAATAGGAGGAAATCGTTTTCTCTCGTCAACAACAGGGAAAGAGTTAAACGATATCATTTATTGATTAGATGTAAATCATATTAGCCATACATGTAAAGCAAAAATAATGTCCTTTAATCTGGTCATGTCCAACGGCCCTCATCCTTGAACCAATCTCCATCTTTGTAAGCTGCTTTGTTTTTCCTCCGTTCCACTGCTCTGTTTGTTAGATGTTTGCTCCCACTTTCTTTTGCAGTCTGAAGTGCATCAAACGCACAAAACACCCAATTCGCGTCACAGGATGCCTAATACAATTTTTGCATTGACTTCACATGTAAATAACTCGCGCTTCATCCCCGTCTGCTTACTGCACAGGCTGCAAAACATTTCCTCCCACTCTTATGTAATGTAATAATTGTGTGACATGTCATTTTTTGAGAGACACTAAAATACATCACGGGCGCTGCGTAAGCAACATCTATAAGTCATGTAAAACAATAAATTGCAAACTTAAATAAATATAATGTGATTATATGGTTTGGAATTGGATGTTTTATGAGATTATTTACATTTTTTTATTTCACGTTTAATTAAGAATTTTGCAGGATCACTAAAATTTGCTACTTTTTGTGATTTTGCATTGGATTCAGCAATGGCGGAATCGTGAAAAACTAGGGGATCTGATTATTGTATTTCACTTTGTATTTCTTTTAATCAGAAAAGTACTCCAAAATAAACATTAATGAAGTGCAATTTGATCTTCTGCAGGAAAGAGGCCTCATGAATGCGGGATCTGCAGCAAGGCCTTCAAACACAAGCACCACCTAATAGAGCACCTGCGCTTGCACTCTGGAGAAAAGCCCTATCAGTGTGACAAGTGCGGGAAACGCTTCTCCCACTCTGGTTCCTACTCACAACACATGAATCATAGATATTCCTACTGTAAGAAAGAGGCTCAAGGCCAAGGGCTAGGCCAAGGAGTGGAAGAAGAGGACAATCCTGGTGAGGAGCAGCCTCAGACGGGCAGTACAGCGACCTCGCCTCCATCCCACCTGGACTCAGATGAGCGGGGGAGCAGTACAAGGGACGATGAAAGCGAGGAGGAGGACGAGATGGGCTCAGGGAGCTTAGTTGACGAGGATGAAATTCAGGTAGTCAAGATTGGAGAGGAGGGAGATGAAGACGATCAGGGAGCAGATGAAGACCAGGAGAGGATGGAGGAAGATGGTGATGAGGAAGGTGAGGGTGAGACGCTGAAAGTCGTGGTGATGCAAGATGAATGTGAAGAGGATGAAAACGAAGAGGATGAGCAAACGTCGGAGGATGCCATGGACACCAGTGACCACACGGAGGAAATGACAGAAAGAAAGACCCCAGGGGACAATAAGAACATTGGTGAACATGAAGGAAACACAGCCGCTATGAATGGAGATGTGAAATGAAGATTCCTTACGACGGTGTTTTACAAAGTTACTAATTTGAAGGAACCAACAAAAAGACGTTTTCTTTCAGCAGATGTTTCTCTCTCTTCCTGAGAACTGACTGTGTTAAGAGGAGAATGAGACGAGGAAGAGTGCGTGACGCTCTTGCGCTGCATTTAAACCCACTACTGTGTATAAACCCCCAGGTGTGCCTGAAAAATACAAAAGAGTTACTCTTTTTCCACATAAAGACAATTTTCTGTGTTTGAGTATGGTTTGTACAAATGCAAAGTTTAACACAAAAAAACAAAAACAAAAATGACGCATATATGAACTGAAAGCTATACACGTTTTGGCTAATAATGTTTTATTACTAAAACGCCTTGGGTCAATTTCTTTTATCAGTATTACTAATTTTTTGTCACTCTCGGTTTACCCTCAGAAGCTGTACAGTTGGGAGAGAGAGATTTCTATACGTTTTTATTGCCAATGAACAAAACTCAGTATTTTCTTGCATTTAAAAGAGTATCCTGTGCACTACCATATTCCCAGTTTACCTTCGGAACACCTATGTGGGCCTTGTGTTGTTTAATGTCTACCTTCCAGTATTAGTGCCCCAGACGATATTCCTTAAGCCACGCTAGCGCTCGCTAGCACACCATTTGTCCATCGTCTCATTTCCCAACGAACTGTGAGCCTTAAATGTTAAAAGATTGATGTGGTAATGGTGGGAGGGCTTTCACGAATCCCCTAAAAGAAGCCAAGACATCAAAGAAAAACCTTAGTAATCCTGGACAGCTGGTTTTAGACGGTGATCGCCATCAGCTCCTTCCCCACCCATTATCCACCCTTATGCAAAAACATGCATGTTGGAAGTGCCATTGAACAGTGCTGTGCCGTTGCTGTGACGCCGTTGCGAAGCAGCACATTCGCGTGGGGCTCATGCTGTCTTCGTTTTTTTGGTAGCAAAATTTTGGAACCCTGCACCTAAACCACTAGTCCTAAGTGAAGGACAAGACTGCCTATTTCTTTTTCTTTTTTTAATCAATCCAGTAAGGACTACACTGCATCAAGAATTCAGGAAAGAGGATCGATAAGCAAAAAGGAGAAAAAAAAATACGCTCTTTTTTCAGCCTTGAAGTATTTTCCCCTGTTTGGTGCACTTGTTTCTCTTGTAATCTTTAGCTGCACGACACTTTTTCTTCAGGTAACAAATGTAGGCAGATACGATCAACGAAGAATTCACTTTTAGTTTCTTTTGGGTCAGCCTTTTTACCTGTCAGTATTAATTTTTGTCTCGTTTGTATTGAAGTTTCTTTGTTGCTTGTTTCAGTGAACATTGTGTAAGTTTGTTTGTTTGTTTTGTTTTTCAGTAAAGGCAGTATTATCCCTCCCATCCCTCACCATTATAACTTTACATTTTTAGTTTTAGAGACCTTTTATATTTATGTGTCTTATTTTTGTATTTTCGTTATGGTTATTTATTACACAATGTAGTGTACAATACTGTAGTTTGTATTAATACAATAATATATTTTAGTATGAAGAATAATTTCGAAGATAAATGAATTCAAAGCTGGGGGCGAAACTCCAGCATTTCGAGTGTTTTAAAACTGAAAAAAGTATTATTTTCAAAGTTTCTGAATGCACCGTTTGAAGAACAGAAAAAAACACACACCCCTAAAGTATATCAGAACTGTTACCTTTTACATGTCACTTTCATGTTTCTGTCTCTTACCCCACTATACTTTGAAGCTACTGAACGTCTAACTGTATGCTATACACGCATGAGTCTTTGCTGTTGTATCGAAAGATTGTCCCTCGCCATGAAACTGTGCTGCCCTTTTTAATGAAGCCAAAACATCATCAGTGTGTTGTTTTTATTATTGTTATTATTTCCGGTTGTGCCAATTTGTAACTTTGTCTACATCGAGGCAACAGTCTTTTGTATGTCCCTGTTTTAACCTTTTTTAGTGATAGCTTTTTTGTTTGATCGTTTTTCATTTCTTTGTTTTTTTAATGAATCCCCATCTCACAATAAAATACTTCAAGAATTCAACATGTACAGCTTTTCTAGCATATTTCCTTTACAGGAGATACAAATCTTCATATTTAATTACAATGTATGATGAATTTGTTAGTGAAAAACCGAGACATTCACTTTGTATTCAATCCCTCAGCACTAACGAAAAGCATTGATTAGGATCAGGTTGCCATGCTGGGTTTTGGATGGAGAGTTTTGAATTATTAATGCAACAAAACATAAATCTATGATCTGACTAAAGTCTGAAAATGATCTTATGTGTGATGCTGTATAGAGAATAGGCTCAGCATTGAGCTGAGCTATTCTTGAGTGTCAAACTTTTAGAATTACCCTGCAGGCACACAACATCATAAGACGTTAATGTTAGGTTAGATTAATCATAATCCAACATCTGGTAGATGTCATAGTGGCAACGTCCACTCAACATCAAGGTGTAACATGATTAGACTTTGATATGTGGTTGATTTTAGGTTGTGTTGGGAAGTGACCAAAATCCAACGTCTGATAGATGTCATAGTGGTAACTTCCACACAACGTCATGGTGTAACATAATTAGACGTTGATATTTGGTTGGACATAGATGTCGGCCTGGCGATGGGTTCTAACGTCAACCCAATTTTCATTTCCAAACAAACGTCATGGGGTACAATGTCAATAAGACATCATGTTGACGTCCTGTGTCTGGTAGTTCAAAGCAGAATGTGGATTTTTAATGCAATTTTAGAAGGAAATTCTGAATATACTGTCTTTAAACATCTATCAAACTGTAGATTTGCCATGCCGACTTAAGCTGAACACTCTGAAAAACACACTTTAGGCTGGATATGTGTGCACACAGAATGAAACGAGAGCCCTGTGTCTCCTGCGGTAGCTGAAAGCTGATGGACAACAGCACAGGAACAAGCCAAGAGTGGAAGCAGAGAACAGAACATCCCCTGGGAAATTTAGCGGATAGCACAATCAAATACAAATAGCCTACATCTGTGCTCAAAACATTAGCCTTTACTTAAAAATCATGTTCATTTTAGCCTAGCACTGGATTTCACCGAGCGTAGGCTTGAGGATTAACGCCACAGTGATTTTCCCATCAATATTTTACTTGGATCGTTTCAGCACACTTGATTTTAATAAACAGTTTTATAGGTGGAACAAGCACAGTTCAAGTTGATTGTATTTATTGTAGAAAAGCTCTTCAATTCTTATTGTGAAGCAAAATGAAATGGTTTGATATTGTCAGCATTTCCACGGTTTGGATGGTAATCAGTGTTAGGAAGTTTATAAGTTATTTTATGAGGATCTTTATGTCAAATATGAAGTTCAGTTTGCCAAAAGAAATTCCAGGCCCAAGTACTAAATGCATAACTGTATTAATCAGGTAAGTGCCTCTATACTGTAGCAAAAACATAAACAAAAAATGATAAACAAAAATACATTAATGTGTCAGCACCAAAAGCCTGAGTATTGGGCATATAAAGTTTGAGTCCTAGCTCCCGACCCCATCCCCCCTCTCTCCAACTTCACTTCCTTTCTAATATATAGTACTATGCTAATTTGTAGTCCTAATTCACACCTTTGGGTTTTTTTTGCAATATTTTCTTTTAGGTTGTTTACAGAAGAAACCACTGCCCTACAAACCATTTACTGTAACTTGCCTAATTAACCAAGTTAAGCTTTTAAATTTCACTTTAAGCTGTATAGAAGTGTCTTGAAAATATCTAGTATAATATTATTTACTGTCATCATGGCAAAGATAATATACATGAGTTATTAGAAATGAGTTATTAAAACTATTATGTTCAGAAATATACAGGGAGGCTAATAATTCAGGAGGGGTAATTCTTCAACTACATGCACACATATGCTAACACTTTACTTGAAGGGGTGTTCACAAGACTGTCAACAAATCTTTAAAGTAATGACATAATACACGTCATGAAGGTGAATGAGATTTTTGCATGCTTATAACAACTGCCATTAGTTCAAATATGACAATTTAAATGCAAAGATGACAGAAGCTATGTTTTCATCCAAAGAAATGTATGCGCACACCTGGAATATCGCATATAAGACATGCGAATAAAGCGGCGTTTCCATTCGAGTAGTCAAAGAGAACAAAATCATCACTTCCTGATTAACTGACACCAAATATCAACAGTAAAAACGGAATTTACAGGCAGTATGCTGACACACGATAAATGCGTGTTGGCATTTAAAGGCATCAGACGCGGAGCAAAGGCGCTCTTGACAATTCTTGAGGTCATTAATAATATAATAACGCTAATACAGAAATTATTAGAATGACCAAACAACATTTCAGATGCATTTACAGTGTGCTCAGCCAGCTGGTTTGTCCATTTACACATTTTTATCATCACATGACCTCTTATAACAAAATCAGAGAACATTTTAATGCACATTTTGTCTTATTCTTGTCAACTTGACATTATCAAACAAAAAAAAACTTGTTATAAATCTGTCATAAACATGATTGTCATGAATTTGTCATTAAAATGTCAATAAATAATAATGACGCTCCTTTACATATATTTGACAGAATATTGACACTTTTAAATGAAACTTTTAAATGACAAATTCAGTTTGTTCCACTAAGAAAAGTTATCAGAAAAATACTTATGACACAATTGTAATGGCCCCATGACAATCATGTTTGTGACACATTTATGACAAGTTTTGTTGTTTTGATAATGTCAGGCTTTTATGACAAAAAAACAGACCCGTTGTGATGTATTTGTTTATGTCAAGTTGTCAAACAATATATATTACCTACAAAACATATATTACTTTATTATATAGTGCTTTAAGTGCAAAAAGCAATGCTGTATAATTACTTTGTCCATCCAAGCAGTCAAAGAGGCCCACCCAAGATGTACATATATTTAAAACACTTTATTGCTTATATTTAAGTGATGTTTCGTCATACATGTATAATACAGTATACTGCAAATTGAATATAATCTATATTATGCTGAAATTCTGTGGTGTGTCTGATAAACTATAGTCATGTGTAGGGCCCAACATAATATAAAGACACCTTTGAGCTTTTATGACCAATAATCAGCCATCCAGATCACCAAGCAACCACATAGAAACAGTAGAAACACTCCAAAAACACACTTAAATGTTAAAACGATTCCTTCATACCTTCATAAGGCAGCGACATTACCCTTCTTGATATCACATGCAAGTCTCATAATGGCAGACGGTGACTTTTGGCCAAACCCCTGAAACGAGACAAATGACCATTTCAAAGTTTCTTTCTTCAAACAGTGAAGTGACAAACAAGAATCATGCTTTAAAATGCTGCTCAAACGCTCAAACATCAGCAGTGTTTGTTGTGAAGGTCTCTGCGCACTCTTTTGATCTCAGCATGTTGTCGCCACACTCCTCAGCTGCTAAGACCAAACCTGACCACAAGTTTCTGATGTTTATATAAGGCTGTGCCCCTCCATTTACTCTCTAATGAGCTTCTAATCATTTGCACCTGTGCTAAAGTGCACCTGATTTTCATTTGGAGTGTTTGCTGCATGTGGAAATGGCATTTCTGTTTATTTAAATAGTACAAATGACTGCGCAGCCTTACTCAACCTTACATGACCTCACGTAAATCCTTCTATTTGATTGTGATCCAGCTGAGAATACATCAACGAGACTGGATACTAACACTATGCCACATGCGCTAACAAACATGCACACGCACATTGTTATGGACCGATACAAATAACTAATATCTATTACAGTAACATGCTGTTACAAATGTTGCTGATGATGATGTATTTGTAATACCATCCTCCTTTGGAGACTGTAAGAAAAGATATAAACATCACTGATGTAATATGAGCTAACAAACTGGAGGTTTATGCTGAGCATGAAGTTATTGAAGAGCTATACGTAATCTCTACTGTATATCAGCGTCTTTGCTTGCTTCTCAGATTGTACATTTCATCAGATTTGGCTATAAAATACAAAACAGGAAACAAGAACTTTAAAACAAGCACAGTTACCTTTTTACAATGTGTAAATGCTTGAAAATGCAGTTATTTATTTTTCATCAGCAGCAAAAAAACAAAAACAAAAACAAAACAAAACAAAAAAACATCTGAATCCATTTTGTTCACCCGAGTTAAATTATAGCATCCTTAAAACAAGCAAATCTAATCTTCTTAAAGGGTGGCAATGTCTGCTATTTTGATAAGAATAATTAAATAAATTAAAAATAACTAAATAAAGCAATCCTTGATGATTATTATTAAAGGTCAGGACAAAAACCATTAAAATATTAGCAATATTTGAAAAAAAAAATCCTTGAAACAAACAAAAGCACATTAAATCGTGGAAATGCCTGAAACAAGTAACTTAATCATAATGATTGTAATTCAGATTATTATTTCAATTTATGCAACACACATTTAAACAGATTGGGTTCAACAAAGTGCAATTTCATGCAAAACTACAAGCAAATCTATGATTAAAAGTTTTTTTCAGCTTTATTTGTACAGCGCTTTTACAATGTAGATTGTATCAAATGCTTAATTGTATTTATTTGACTGCAGTTCAAAAGTATATCTACAAAAATATGTACGCATTTAAAGTAGGCATGGGGCACTAAACAGTCTCAGGGTTTACTATGGTTTGGAAATGTAACAGTTTTTAAACCAATACAGTAATATCGTTCCTCTGGTACATATAGTAGGGCTGCACAAAATATTGTCTCAACATCAATATCGCAATGTGCCCATCCGCAATAGTCACATAGCAGTACAGTATGTGCAATGTAAAGTTTACATGTTGGGACTATGTTTGACCAACACAACAGTTCTAAACACAAGGGATTTGTGGAGTCACCTCAAAACATTAAATTATTGAGAATATTTAAACATTTTGTCCAAGGCATATTTTATTCAGAACAAATAAAGCTTCAAATGTAAGTAGGGGAGAGTGAGGATGATTGTAGCATGGGGCAGGTGCAACAAGACTTATTCCTCCATTGAGGTATGAGCT